ATTCAGAAGCCCATGACCAACAATAGCAAAAAGAAAGAGAAACATGGAAAAGTGCATGCAGGTCGTTGCTAGCCAGCTAAGACAAATGCACGCAAAAATCAGCAGAGCATAAGTGATCCAAACTTCCAATGCCATGATCATTGCCTGGTTACCCTAAATAAATACAACATATAAATAAAACACTCCCAAAAATAAAACTTTTAATTACAGGAATTTACTTGTCAACAGTGATGCATGCAGGTCACTGCTGGCTAGCGAGAAGATATGCACACAGGAACCAGCAGGGTATAGGTCATTCAACCCTCCGATGCCATGACAGTTAAAAAAGATAAGTCATATACAAAGCTGCATAACAACCCAAAACAACTTAAAATATCATACGGGATCTAGAATAAGAGCAACTGAGTATAAAACCAATTCTATTTATCAATGAGTCTTGAAACAGCATTGATTTATTCCAGCACGAATCCTTATTAATATCAAGATATGCATGCTGAATGCCATTTCACATTCCGACAAACTTCTTGGAAGCAAATGAATTTTAGATAAGAAAGAAGAGAAACAGCCTCAGGAATTCTCCATGGGGATCAATCTCAAATTATCATTATAGTTTCAACTTAGATATGAATGGTTTTTTTAAATCTGAGAGTGAGAGTTATGTCAATATTATGAGTATAACAGTGCTTTTGAAATAATTGTTTTTAATATTTCGTTCCAGATGCTTATGGATATATTAACCGAAACATTAAAAATGTCACAATCAGCTTGAAGAATGTAACCTAGAAAATAATTATCATGATTATGCAATATATCTACCTCCTCCCAGCAAGCCTCAAAAAGAAGAGGGAAGAAATATTATATTGTAAAGTCTATAAAAAGACAATGCACAACTATAGGTTCAGCATTGGTTTATGAAGCCAAGATCATATCAGCAAGGTTATCTTACCTAGATTTTTTCTTACCTCGTGTTAATGAAGTTTTTCTGTTCCATCAAAAAATTTAAATGAAAGTGGCAGAAATAGAGTGTATTTGATAAAACAAAAATCACTTGCTCTACCATTAGGAAGTTCTGAATCAAGAAGAACTCCAGTTTCAACAGTCCAACACCGAGCAACGTTCTCTTTCGTGTATCCACCACCTCCTGTAACCTGTAGGCAGAAAACATTCTCTATGTATGCTAGATGTATGACATTGATGAAAGGCAGGTAAGATTCAGTCCAATGAAGAACATACCAGTAAGGGTAAATTGAATTTCTTCACAAACCTAACACATTCAGCATGACCTGTAAGAAGGATTCAAATGACACCACAGAGTAAATTTTACCACAAACCATATGCCACTACCAAAGGTTCCAAATAGCTTGAAACCATTAATAATTGAAGAAGAAAAAACAAGTATGACATGCTTAAAGAGGAGGAAAAAAAAATGCTTCAATTACAATAAGATATGCACCATCAATGGACAGATTGAAGCAGCCCAAGCGGTCTCCAGCAAGAGAATCTGCCCCACATTGGAGAACTATCACGCCTGGTAGATATGTTTCAACAACCTTGGAAATAATCTACAAAATTTAAGTTTGCAAGTAAAGTTTTACACTCGACACCATCAAGACAAAACAAAAGACAAAAATCTGCTTTTCTAAATGAACCTACAGTCTTGAAAAGTCTATTGAAGCTAGTGTCATCTATTCCATCCTTCAGTGGGACATTGATGGCATAAAACTTTCCTTCTCTTTCTCCTACTTCCTTCAAAATAAATAATGTTAATAAATACCATTACAATTTCAACTTTACAGACTAGCAATGGAACATAAAACATTTCCAGTAATATAACACCTCAGGTAACAGGTTATATAATGTAAATCTTTCATGCCATATTGTCATATACACGAATGCAAGACCAAACAAAAAACAAAAGCAAGCACGCTAACTAGTTGTTAACTTATTACCATGTGTCACATATGATTAACAATTTCCACCATTGAAAATACTATGAAAAACAAACAAAATGGTTTAAAAAGTTACCTTAACATCACCCGTTCCTGGGAAAAACATATCCCCAAATTTGTGAAAACTAACCGTCATCACCCTGTCAATCAAATTTCAGTGATTCGATTAGAGTTCAACAAAATCACAAAACCAACATTAAAAATTCTGGTAACTGAACAATTAGAACATTTATCACTATTGGAGAGCAAATTCTAGTTCTATCAACTTTTGAATTTTTATTTTATCATAGGATTGGCAGCAAGCAGAAAACATATACGAAGACTACAATTCTTGAGTAAAAGATAAATAGGTTGGATACAACTTAGCTTATCAAAATCTGAAGAAAGAAACTGTATAAATAACGGTGAGTGTTATTGACTCTTACATGCCTTGATTAACCAACCCAGGTCTTATATGAGGAATCACATTACTTTCCGATAAGAACTTTTTGTTTTGACGAATTTTGATAGATAAAATAACTTATTAAGCCATACGAAGATTTAACAATTCATTATTGGACCAAATTCCCAAATACCATATGCAAAAGATAGTATATTAAAACACTAATTTGTTCATCTATAAATAGTATATTACATACAGGAATGCAAACTTTTATCTTCTCCAGCAACAATTCTATCTCTTATTACCAACACCCTTTCGCTTGTAGTTTCAACATCACAGATGCAACAATTAGCAAGTTAAAAATTGTCCAGAAAAGGCATTAAACTTATATCAACACAATCAAATATTGTACATCTATTATTGCATCTACAAATTTGAGGTAATTTTGCTAACAGTAAGGTTAGCTTTATTATTGTCATAATTATAGTGTTATTCAACTATCACTTTCCTTAAACATATTATAATATACAGGTTATGTACCTATCAGTAAAATAAAAAGCTTCTTCTACGCCATCACCATGATGCACATCTATGTCAATGTACAATACTCGGGCATGATGTTTTAGAAGCTCCAAGATCCCCAAGACCAAGTCATTGATGTAACAAAATCCAGATGCCTCGCACTTCTTGGCGTGGTGTAGTCCGCCAGCCCAATTTATAGCAATGTCACAAAGTTTATTGTTCAACCTACGTGCAGCGTCTGCAAAAGAAAATTCAATCAGTATATGGCAGAATAGTTAGAACCCACACTTTTGACATCATATAACAAGAATTACCTATTGTTCCACCGGCATAAATTTGACAAAATTCAAACAAGTTATCAAATACAGGGCAATCTTCTCCAAGGTTATCTGGCATAGTGAAAGACAGAAAGAATCAGTAAATTAAACAAGCACATTAGATAGAGATTCCAGTGACTGCAGCCAAGCTAGATCTTTGAAGTGCTCATGCGGGAAGCAAAAGAGAGCCACTCAAAGAGAAGAATAACTGAAAATTTATGTTCAAGAGCCAATCAGAGGTTTTTTTTAGCATCCTCCATTACAGCAAAAACTCAGAAAGGTATAACAAGTATTTTGAATTGGTGATTCCCAGAACCTAACTGTGCAGTCAATGAAATTTCCTTTCTGCAAAACCTAAATTAAACTAATTAACATGGACTGTTGATTAACACCAGATCAACCTTTTTTTGTTGGTTCACATGTAATTGAGTGATAACATTAAATCGCATAAGAGTAAGTAAGCAATAAAAGGGTCAAGGAGAACTTTAATATTGTGGTTTAATAACTTGTTAAACATTAAAGTTGACCATGCCAGAAATCAGAAACCAGAAACACGGTCAAAGATCATCCAACTGATTTTGACTCCACCACTTCTGCTCAACCGTTCCCTCAGGAAGTTCTAAAATTCCCCATCTCTGCATAAAAGGGTCAATCATGATTTCTTCTTTTTAGTATTCTGTAAGTGCAGTGAACAATCCTATCTCATGATCAAATTTTCTATTACAGCTCTGGCGAAATACCCTCACTTAACTTTTTTGTGTTGAAGCTCATAACAAGAACAATCTATGCACACATACAAGCAAAAAATAACAATATATACATATCCAAGAGTCATACATCTTGCCAGTTCATTCGAGAATAAGTGCTGTGTGTCGGGCGTAATCCGATGCAGAAACTCGACATAGTCAGCTGAATGGAATTGCGCAAGCTCCACCGGATATGCCTTATGGGGCCGCTGAGAAACGCGATAATAATCAACAAAAAGATTGATACTTAAAGCCAAAACTTGCATACCCAATGACACAAAAAATGAAACCAGTTATTACTCAGTACAATAACAAAAGTGGAAATAAATGAAAACAAAAACAAATTTAGAAGTATTATGGGATACTAACATAAATTTCCATCTTCTTGTGGAGGTCATATGAGAGGACAAGATGATGGGTCATACATAGCCGGTGTGGTTTCATGGGATGGTTCGGTCCAAAGTAGACGCTACCCACATCCCCTGCAATACCCATTTTTATTGTGAAACTAAATTTCTCAACTTTCCATAATTATATGATTACAAAAACTAAATGTTCGAAGAAAAGCTATAATCCATAACTTAAAGAAAACCCAAAAGGGATTATGAAGCACAAAGAGGCAGAGAAAGTTTTGCTGGGGTGAGGGGTTAGGGTTGGAGGAGGAGAGAGAAGTGTACCGTCGTAAAAGTAGGCGATTTTGTCCTTTGAGCGCATTTTGTTGCAAAAGTCGGAGGAAGAAGGACAAGGAAGATGATGGCTACTGAGGTTGCGCCATTTTCAGAGCTCCAAAGAAAAAGAGAGAGAAGGTTGATATGTCCTGCCTCAGTTGTACTGGATAAAATCCCCTTTCTTCTTTAAAGCTTTCAACAAAAATATACCTTAAAAAATAAATTAAAAAACCCCTTTCTACGATGCTTTACGGTCACTATTTCTTATTTAGAGGCATGAATGCTCTTTAATCCCCAAGTAATGAGTGAGTAAGAATAGGGGTTGGCACGGTTCGGATTGGATTGCTTTTACTTTAATATTGTTAGTCCAATTATAATCAATAAATTCATAACTTGCTTCATATTTAAATTCTTTTTTAGAGTATTTCATCCCAAAAAAAAAAAAAAATCATTTTCTAGAGTACGCAAACATCCTAAAGCTCAACATGCCATAAAACTTCAAATTTCAATAACTAATATAGCTCAATTCAAATATAAATATATAGTTATTGTCTAATTAAAGTATTACACATGTAAAATATAATATAAATAAATAAATATACACATAAATGGTTTGGTTTGGTTTAGACCAATTTACAAAAGCGTAAAATTAAACCAAATCATATAATTTGCTCCATATTTAAATTATTTTTTAGAGTATTTCATCCAAAAAAAAAAATCATTTTCTAGAGTACGCAACCATCCTAAAGCTCAACATGCCATAAAACTTCAAATTTCAATAACTAATATAGCTCAATTCAAATATAAATATATAGTTATTGTCTAATTAAAGTATTACACATGTAAAATATAATATAAATAAATAAATATACACATAAATGGTTTGGTTTGGTTTAGACCAATTTACAAAAGCGTAAAACTAAACCAAATCATATACAATCCGGTGCAGTATTTAAATCGTTTGACTTTTTTTTTGTTAAAACCAAATCAAACCATAATTACGGTTTGAATCGGCCGATTTCATTGGTTCAATCGGATTGATGCCCACCCCTAAGTAAAACGGTGTCAAATCAACTTAAAAAAATAATTGGATTTTCATTGGTCATTTATTTATTTTTTTTAAAGTCCTCTTTTAGCCTTAAAACTGTCAAACCATGGTCCTTTATTTTTAGTCTATAATGTCGCATTCTCATAAAACTTCCGTTAAAAGTATTCTAACAAAAATTTTGTTAAACATGTTTTTTTTTTTAATCAAAATATAGTTCATTCATTGTAGTCTTAAAATTCACATTTTTGCTCAATAAGGTCCTATTTAGAGTTTCACATTTGGATTCCACTAACGAGAGCAAATAATGATTTGAGGGAAAATTATTTCCTATGTCATTTCCTAAGGAATGGGAAATGGAAATTCTTTTCCCATGTTTGGTAATCTTGGGAAAGTAATCAATAAATACCACTTGATTTCTTTTTACATATTTGGTTTGTGTAGGAATGTAAAACAAAGTTTTTTAATTTTCCAATTATACCCATATGAAATCAAATAAAAAAGGAATGCATTTAATGCTATATTATAATTCTAAATTGTTAATGAAGACAATATAGTCATGAAAAAAGTGTATTTAATGTTGGCTCATTTTCCTAAACTTTCTTATGAGGAGGAAAATAAAACTCATGAGGGGAGGAGGGCTTCACTTTCCCCATACTTTCTCATGTGCAAGGCAACGATTTCTCATGTCTTGACTTATCAAACATGGGAAAGCAATTGATTTCTCATCCCCAAGCTCCCTTTCTCATGAACCAAATGAGGTATTAGGGTTACTTTTTAATTCCTTAATGTGAAATAAATATAGGAATCCTCTATACTTGGAATTCAATTCCTGATTTGTAAATACACTAAACTTTCTCATGAGGAGGAAAATAAAACTCATGAGGGGAGGAGGGCTTCACTTTTCCCCTACTTTCTCATGTGCAAGGCAACGATTTCTCATGTTTTGACTTATCAAATATGGGAAAGCAATTTATTTCTCATCCCCAAGCTCCCTTTCTCATGAACCAAATGGGGTCTTAGGGTTACTTTTTAATTCCTTAATGTGAAATAAACATAGGAATCCTCTATACTTGGAATTCAATTCCTGATTTGTAAATACACCATAAAATTAAATATTCGTGGATGACATGTGGCAAAACCATATTCGTTGACTGCAACGAGCTGTACCGATATAACCGGACGGGACCTACCTAGTGTGAGTATACGGTATTGAACTATAAATCTCCATCTCATTTTCACCTTCTTCTACGAACTTCTCCCAGCCCTCGGCATTGCCAGCTTTCCCAGACGTGATTGTCGAGCTCCAGCCACTCCCAATTTCACGTAAGATTTTTTCCACTCTTATTCTATTTCTTCATCCCATATTCGAATTCCTACCAATCTGATTTGGGCTAACGCTTAGATCTAGGGTTAGTGTTTGTTGCTTGTCTCTGTGTTCATTTTCCCGTTACATTTATTATTTTCATCGATCCCTATCCTGTGATTTGATCGGCTTAAGCGGTTGCTATATTTTTATTCTTTAATGACCCGATTAGATGGTTGCTCAATTAGGGTTTCCTGTTTTTTGGGGGAAAAATTCAGAAGGAATTCCGTTGATTCAATCTTGATGTGGGATGTCAATTTTCTATTCAATTTGTCATGACGTTTATTGCAAACTAGTAATTTTGTTTGGTTGGTAAGTTGTGGGTTGAGTGGTAGAGACTGGGGTTTCAGTAACTCATGTTCGACAGTTTTGGGTTTATGATAGTGTTATGTTTTAGACTTAAGAATAGAGAGGAACGATTAATTTGTAGAATTGCATTCTCAGAAATACCACTTTTATGCACACACAATAAGGTCGAAAGTCTTCAGTTTCAATCTGACCCATCATTATTTCAACGTGCTTCATTGGCTAAGAAAATGGCATTACGATACTGTACTAGCAAATTTCTTGGCGCATTAAGATAGTGTAGTAGCAAATTGTTTAGCGCATATGAACTGAACTTTCATAAATTATCAATATGTTGGATTCAGTTTTCCAGTTTGTGGGCTGATTGAGAAGGGGATTTATGGTTTTTCTTTGCTTTTGGTGTATGAATTTTGATTACCATCCTTTTGGAATAATCCTGGTGAGCGGATGATGAGTTTGGTAATGACATTCTTTACTTTCTATGACTTTTTGTTTGTCTCTAAATTTCAAATATTCATCCAAGTTGAGTTTATAACAATTTTTCATGTATTATATGTTGAAGTTGTTGTCAAACCACAAAATTGGTTTTCAGATCGTGTATTCCATGAACTGGGGGACTAAAAGTTAGTTTTGTTTGTTATAGCATTGATGTAAACACGATTTCTGTGTTTTCTATTTTTTATTATTACAAAACATGAATTTATGTTGGAAATGCAAGCATGTGATGGGAATAGAAACGATGAAATATTTGAATAATTTTCTTTTTGTTTTCTTAATGGTTCAAGATAACTCATTCAGTCCAGCGTGATGCATCTCCAGCATTGTATGTCACTATTGTCTGTGAAGTGATTCTTAACTGCCATTTTTTGATACCTAAGGGTCTTCCTGAAGATTGATAAAGTCACAGTATTGGATAGCATTCTGGAGCTTTAGTTTCATGATCATGATGATTGAATAAACTATAAGCTTGTCCGCATCATTATTAGTTGAATTGAACTGCACATGATAGTAGTTTCATAATGATTTATGTGTGCACATGCACTCGAGTATTCATCATTATAAAGACAGTGTAAAGAATTCTATAGAAATAATGAAGCTTAAATAGAATGGAGCCAGATTATGTATTTCTATTTTCTTTATTCCTACTTGTTTTTTTTTTTTTTTTTTTTCTGTTTCTCATTTTAGTATGTATGTTATTTTTGAAATTAGCGCATTGTTTTGCTGATGCGTTCTCTGCTCAACTTGGCTGTGTTGTGTGGGAAAAGATGAGTATCTAATAAATCCAGTTCGTTTGTACTTGTAACTATTTGAAAGTGATTGTACAGTGGACAAGTAGTGTGGCTACTGATGCTGGTGTAAAAATTGTGCCTGTTAGTTTACAATACCATTTTGCAGTTCACATTTTGTGTTTGGAATAGGTCAATGAGTGCTGGAATTGTTGCCTAAGTGGGATTTACCTAAGTTGAAAATGAAATATATGAAAATATTTATTGACCTAAACCAAATGTAATAAATTCCAACATCACAAGTAGCTAATTGCTGCGTTTCTGCAGAAGCTTGATGCAGAGTTTGTGCATTGATTAAGTCGAATTAAGTCCATCCTGTCCTAATTTGGTAGACTAACCCCTTCCCCTTCTTTTCTTTGTCAATGTAACTATGGAAGGATTAGTGTATGGTCTAATGGGACAGTTTGGGCAACCTTTGTCTCTCTTTAGCAATTGAGGCCTTGTGTGCTTTCCCTCTGGGTTTATGGTGCGTATCCAGTGTTGATATTTTTCTTTGGTGCGACTTCAGTTGAACCCTAAAAATAAACAAGAGAGTGCACGATGGTCTTTCCCCTTCTGGAGAAGTTTTGTTTTTGGAAGTTGCTTTCATAAAATGACCTTTAATAATGTTTTGATCTATAATACAGGATGTCAGAAGAAGCACCCTTCCGACCACGTGAGAAGCTTGTCGAGAAGCAAAAAATTTTCCAAAGCGTCCACAAATACACATATCTGAAGGGACCATATGATAAGATCACCTCTGTCGCTATTCCAGCTGCTTTAGCTGCAACTTCTTTGTTCCTTATTGTAAGTTTCTAATTAATTCACGTCTTTTAAGGCTTTCTAAGCCCTATCTATGAGGAAAGTGTAAATTTCCGTACTTGCAATCTAATTGTAAGGTTTTATGACATTTCCTCCAGGCCCGAGGAGTCTACAACATGTCACATGGGATTGGAAAGAAGGAATGAGGCGGCTCTTAAAAGTCACCATTGGCTGGCAACCAAAGTGCATAAATTTATGTGCTAGTCTCAAGTGGTGCTCTTGATTTTTTTGTGTTTGTTTGCTCTAATAATTGCGTAGTAGCAGATTCTATACTTACTTTGAAAGCTGAAACTTTTCTTTTGAAATTTTTGTTAAAGGAATTTCCTGCTTGGTTATAAATACTGCACCCTTTTTATTGGACGCTTCAGCCGCGCATTCGAAACATCATTATCCTCGTATTTGTGGTTTCTCCTCATGCTTATTCAAATATGGATGTTTGCTTTTTGTCTCTCATCCTGCACTTTATCATCACTGATAGTGAAAAATGCCCACAAAGTTTATCAAATGGATGTTTTGATTCATCAGTTCCGGTTGAATCATTTCATTTAAAGATCAAAACCTATTATTGAAAGAATAGTAATGCTGACAGAACAAACTATCTAAGATTCGAACATTACAGGGAATTAAACTGAGTAGGGGAGGCCCAACTCCATCTCACTTATTTTTGGCAGATGACTCTTTAGTCTTTTTGAGAGCCACCAGCCAGAACTGCAAAAGTTTCTTGAACTTGCTTGATGGGTACTGCACTGCATCTGGACAACTGGTGAAATACTGAAAATCCTCCATCTATTTGTCTCCTAATGCTTCCCCCGAGTTAGAAGCTGAAATTGGGGTAGCTCTTCGGATCAACCCAGCCACCGATCCTGGAGTTTACCTTGGGATCCTAGCAATTCGGGGCAGATCAAAAAAGGAGGCTCTGGGGTATATTTGCGACAAAATTCAGAAGATGGTACATGGTTGGAAAGCCAGTTCTTTGACCATGGCTGGTAGGGAAGTTCTAATCAAATCTGTGGGCTCTGGCTCTTGCGATACCTGCTTCTCTTATGTCTTGTTTCAAATTTCCCTCCTCCACTTGCAAAGCTATTAATGGGGATCTTAGTAGATTTTGGTGGGGATCGCATGATGACGGAGGGAACAAGATTTATTGGAAAAGTTGGGAGCATCTTTGCCTTTCCAAGAGTGATGGAGGTATGGGCTTCAGGGGACATTGAGACTTTCAATTTACCAGTCCCCGCAAAGCAGTGCTGGAGACTGTGGGAAATAATCCAGATGCCTCTTGGGCTGTTGTTGTGAAGAGTTGCTATTATTGGGCTTTATGGAGCTTGGGCAAAAAGTCCCTTCCTGCCCATTCTTCTCACCAGATTGATACTCAAGTGTGGAAAACAATTTGGAAAATTGATGTGGTTCCAAAGATTAGGAACTTCCTTAGGAGGAAAGTTAGTTGCAATCCTCTATGTCCTTTCTGTGAACTACATGAGGAATCTATGGAGCTACAAACCGGAGATGCAGAGAATCTCCAAGTTCGATGTTTGGCTTTTGGCCCTGAGCTCCAATTCTGCAATTCCTAATCATGTGCGAAAGCAAGTGTTGGCATCTGTTAGCATTATATGCTGGGAGATTTGGAAGGAAAGATGCCATGCTTTTCTTCTCACATTTCCCTCCCGATCCTGGTATTGGGCTAAGGAAATCAAAATCTTACCATATTTGGGTCGCTGGATTCAAAATCTTCCCACATTTGGGCTCAGCAGGATCCAGTCATTATTAGTGCCTTTAGCTCTTACAAATATTTGAAAAATCATCTTTAGTTGTCATTTTCAGACCAAAAAAAATCTTTAGTTGTTATCACTTTCGGAATCAACAATGGCATACGGCAAAGGGGGAGAATCCAACAAATGCAAAACTAGATGAATCAATAAAGACCTAGCCAGCCAGGTAATTTAAACCAACATTCTCCCCAATTTAACCAAATAGATTCGTCAGGGTGTGTGGTATCCACATATAGGATTTCATCTCAAAAAACCTAGGTACAATTTATACCACTTAATTAACACATTTGTCGACTTTTTTAATATAAAAAAAATACAACATTTGTATTTGATTCACAATTCCAAACAAATTATCGTCAAAGGACCAAAGTGATTTAGGGTTATGACACGCAGTTAGCAAATAGGGTTTTAGGGCCAACTCTAAGTCTAAGGACAAAGCAAAATTGAAAGAATCAAAACCTGAAACTTTGTGTTCAATTATAATATAAAGGCATAGGAAAATTATACCATATTATAATAATTGATGTCCTAACAAACTTAAATTTATTTTGTTTGGGTA